TGCGATCTCATTAGATCGTTAACTGCCACCACACAGTGAGCCGTGCCTTCGGGGACATGGGAAGTATCTTGGTGGGGAGAAGGCCCTCCAGGCCTCCCCCGGGCCCCTCCGAGGGTCAGCCAGGTCAGGGCCAGGCACCCACCCTGGATGGGCGCTGGGTGCAAAGCAGGGCCCCGGCCCAGGCAGATGGGGAGGCCCCAGCCTTGCTTGTCCCCAGGCGAGTTTCTCCTGCAGTCACTCCCCTGCTGGCCTCACCTCCTCGTGGTTCTTCCTCAGGTAGGCCAGCTCCTCCTTCAGGTTCTCGATCTGCATCTCCAGGTCGGCCCTGGCCAGGGTCAGCTCGTCCAGCACCCGGCGCAGGCCATTGGTATCGCCCTCCACGCTCATGCGCAGATTCAGCTCCATCTCATACCTGGGAGGGGTGGAGGCATGAGCCATGGAGGCCCACAAGCCCCCCACCCCTCCCCCACCTCGTGCACACAGAGGGCCCGGTGATGTGCACAGCTGGACCCACCGCCAGCAGCCCCGGAGGCCCAGACTCACTTGGTGCGGAAGTCATCGGCTGCCAGGCGGGCATTGTCGATCTGCAGCACCAGGCTGGCATTGTCGATGGTGGCGGCCAGGATCTGGGGGAGAGCGATGATGGGCTCTGTGAGCAAGCACCCTCAGCAGCCCCGGGAAGACTCTGCACCCCTCTCGCAGCTCTTTGGAGAGTGTGCCGAGTGAAGGAGGGTCCCTGTGGTGTGGTCTCCTCCTCTGAGGACCCGGCTGGGGGACTCACAGAGTGGTAGGGGCACTGTGCCCAGGCATAGGTAACCATGATGCCAGGGGACCCACACATACCCCTCAACAACCATGGGGTCACTCCCCAAGCCACCTGGACCTGGCTCCCTCTTTCCCAATGAACTTTACCTCTAGACTCAGTTGCCACCTCCTCCAGGAAGCCCTCATCAGTTCCTCACCAGGGTCCCTCCTTCTGGACATACCTCCTCCCTGCCCCTCTCTCTTTCACAGCACTTCTCCCGAGTGTGATTTTTCCATGACTTTTTAAATTCTTTCCTCCTCCCATGAACTCTGAGATTCAGGGCACAAGGCTACGTCTGTCTCCTTCCCTTTAGAATCCTCGGCTCTGGGCGTAGTACCTAGGCCAGGGTGGGTCCCGAGGAAACACTCGTTTAATTAGGTGATTAATTAATTAGTGAGGTTACCACTGGCCCCACCGCAAACCTGGGGCAAAGTTTTCCTTTCCCACTGGGTCATCAGGAGGCTTAAATGCGAACAGGGGAGACTCAGGAAGGAGCAGAAGGTTCGTTATTATTACTGCTGCTGTCATTGTTGTTGTGAGAAATGCCCAAGAGAAACTCCAGTCAAGACCCATGGAGTTGGTGGGGCGAGCGAGGCCCAGACGGAGCAGATTAGCGGGGTGGAATTTGGAATTTTTGGAGACTGAGGGCTGAAGTGTAGAAGATGTAAGAGAGGGAAGCTTCGGCAGTAGGCTCACCCTGGGTCAGGCCCTAGGTTTCCAGACTGAGCCGGGGCCAGTTTGCTAGCCACCCCAGGCCTCCGTGGGTCTGTCCCACTCACCTCCCCGCTCAGAATGGGGTCCGGCGAGGGGCCGGGGCCATTGCCAAAACCCCTGAGGGGCACAGTGACTCAGAGGGAGGAGGCCTGGTGCGGGGTTCACTGGGGTTGGTGGTGAGGAGCTGGCTGACCCCGAATGGATTGGGGAACACACTGACTCACCAGGGCTCCCCAGGGCGCCCCGCTGCCCAGACCAAGCCCAGTATCTGATCTGGCTCTCCCAGGAGCGCTGCTGCCAGGGAACTGCAGGAATTCCCCGCCTGGCGCAGGTCCCAGGCAGGAACCCGCAAAGCCCCCAGAAAGGCAGCAACACACCTGGTTCTCCACCAGGAAATGGAGCAAGTCTGACCGCGGGCGCCAGCCAGGCCACACCCCTGCTGCCCTCGAGCCTGGCTCTCTGGCTCTCATTGACCTCCCCGCTGCCTCTAGGGGTTGCAACACTAGGACCCTGCAGGGGCGGGTTCGTGCAGAAAACCCAAGTGCCACGTCCACAGAATGCCAAGGCCATGTTCTTAGAGGGAGGCAGGGAGGGAGGAGAGAGAGAGAGAGAGAGAGAGAGAGAGAGAGAGAGAGAGAGAGAGAGAGAGAGAGAGATCCATCAGACTAAGAGAAATCCCTTCCCTGAAGTTTCCAGTCTGAGAGGAAAGACACAGCTCCTTCCTTCCAGACCCGCCCCCCAACCTGCCAAGAGAGACGCGGGCTCTGCCCTCAGGAAGCCCCAGACTGACCCGCATGGAGGGAGTGAAGAGGACCCACAACAAAGGCAGCGCGAGTACCTGCCAACCTCAGTGAGATCCGCACAATGAGCAGGGCATAGACTGAACCTCAACGTGTTGAAGGAACCCCAAGATCTGGGGGGAAGAGGCAAGTGCCATCCATCCAGGAGGACTGCCTGGAAGAGGTGCCGCAGGCAGAGCCAGAGGGGCCTGGCTCTGCCGCCTCCCTGCTCACATTCCATCCCCCAGCAGCCAGCACCAACCTCTCCCCCGCCTCTGCTCCTTTGCCTACACCATCCTCTATACCTGGGATGCCGTCTGCTGCCTTTGAGATTCTGAGCCCCCCCACCCTGCTGCTCCTCCATCACCACCCCAACACGCACCCCCCCTCAGAAAGTGAGAACTCCAAACAACCTCCCTGCATGGGGTGTCCTCCAGGCCTAAGACCAGGGAGTGAATGAATGATGGAGACCTAAGATAGGAATGTTCACTCAGGTGGGATGGGATGAGTCAGAAGCAGGTACTAAGGGCAGAGGGCAGAGGGCAGGGAGCTGCCTGGTCCACGCACCTTGCTCTTCAGCTCCTCGATGGCCTTGAAGTAGTGGCTGTAGTCCCGGGCAGGCTCGGGGCCCTGCTTCTTGTACCAGTCTCGGATCTTGACCTCCAGGTCGGCGTTGGCCTCCTCCAGGGCGCGCACCTTGTCCAGGTAGGAGGCCAGGCGGTCGTTGAGGTTCTGCATGGTCTCCTTCTCGCCGCCCCCCAGCAGGGCGTCCGACACACTGTAGCTGGGGCCGTAGCCCCCACTCAGGTTGCAGGAGTAGCCCCCGCTGTAGCCACCCCCCATGCCCGCCATGAAGCGGGACGAATTGACCGACATGTTGCCACAGCTCCCGGCTCCCAGGAGGCTGGGGGCTCGGCAGGCGCCCCCGACGCGGACCGTGGACACCCGAGAGAAACCCCCGGTGGGCATGCCCAGGCCCTTGATAGAGCCGGAGGTGGAGAACTGGCGGAAGCTGGTGGTGGTGGCAGCCATGGTATTCCCTGGCCAGGAGCAGAGCCTGGTCTGGACAGAGACCCTGGGCAGCCCTTTATAGCCGGGCTGTGGGGGGCTGGGCCCCTGGCCCTTGAAGTCAGAGCCAGAACCCCAGCCCGGTAATTTGCTTCTGTATCAACCGCCCAGGGCCTGGGGCTCAGGCTGGACATGCTGAGTGCACCCCCCAGGCCCCTCTCCTGCCCAAGCCTGGCCTGGGCCCCGGCCTCTTAGGAGCCCATTGTTCACAAACAAAGGTGGCGTTGGAGCCGCAGCCCCAGGCTAGGGTGATCCTGCATCCGCAGCAGCGCAGCAATTAGGCCTCTGAGCTCATTCTGGGGGGAGCTGGAGAACCCAGCCCAGGGAGCCAGAAAAGGCCGGAACAAGGCTCCACAGGCCTGAACCCCTGGGGCTGCCCTGGCCCCCCACCCAGCATTCCTGGTCCCTAGGAGATGGTGAGAGACTTGGGGGGGGGCACCCTCGCCCAGGTCCAAGGGCCCTAAGGAGCCCCTCAGGCTGAGCGGGCGAATCCGCCTCTAACCTGGGGAGCCCCCAGATCTCTTGGGGTCCTCCCAAGTCTGTGGCCCTGGGCTGGGGAGCCCCTTACCTAAGGGGAACAGACACACTGCTGGCCTCTGGGAGCTTTGGATCCAAGTGTAATAGGAGGTCAGGCCGTGGGCCTCAGCTTCCTCCTCGGTAAAATGAGGATAATGCCTGTCTCCCCGTCTCTGGGGGACTCTGCAGAGGAGGGTTAGGGTGACCACTCCTGCTCATCCCCTCCCCGCCCCAGTACCTGAGAAAAGCCATTCCCCGCGGGGCCCCCCCGCTAGGAGGCATGAGGGGGAGAAGCAGGGTCCCTCCGTGGGCTCTACCCCTGCGCCCTGCCCTGCGAGGGAGCAGCAGGATCCCACATCCTGGCGGTGGCTGGCACCCGCCACCGCCTGCCGACAAGGCGATTACCAGCCTAATCTCGGCGGCGCTAATGATTTAGGCCCTGCCAGGGCGCTGGCGTCACGGGGCCTGTCTGCATGGGGAGCTTCCAGGGAAGGCCAGGGCTCGCGGGCTGGGCAGGGGAGGGCGAGCCCGGTCCCCCGGGAAGCTTGCGGGTGGCCTGAGCGCTCCGCCACACACAGGAACGGGGAGGGAGGCCGGGTTTCCATGCGGCTGGAGCTCCTTTGATGAGACTCGACTGCTGGAAAGACTTTCTGGTTAGAGAGTGGGTGGCCTCTTACCCACGGTGTTTCCTGGCTTGAAGAGCGGAGACAGCGCGTGCCCTCCGGGAGAGAAGGGACGAACCCCAATCTTATCCTGCTTCCGCCCTGCCTAAGACGTCTGGGGTTCTGAGGGTGGCTGGGGGGTGGAGGGAAGGGGCTCAAAGCCACGGTCAGGCCACTAGGGTTGCTCCATGAGGTTAGACATCAAGGAGGACTTCCCGGCCCGGCCGGCGTGGCTCAGTGGTTGAGCATCAGCCTGTGAACCAGGAGGTCACAATTCCATTCCCCGTCAGTCAGGGCACATGTCCAGGTTGTGGGCTCCATGCCCAGTAGGGGGTGTGCAGGAGGCAGCCGATCAATAATTCTCTCTCATCATTGATGTTTCTGTCTCTCTCCCCCTCTTCCTTCCTCTCTGAAATCAATAAAAATATATATATTTAAAAAAAAAAAAAAAAGGACATGGCTAAACGCACCAAGAAGGTCGGAATCGTCGGTAAATACGGGACCCGTTATGGCGCCTCCCTCTGGAAAATGGCGAAGAAAACTGAAATCAGCCAGCACGCCAAGTACACCTGCTCCTCCTGTGGCAAAACCAGGATGAAGAGGCGAGCCGCGGGGACCTGGCCCTGTGGCTCCTGCATGAAAACCGTCGCTGGCGGTGCCGGGACCTACAGCACCACTTCTGCCGCCACAGGAAAGTCAGCCACTGGAAGACGGAAGGAATTGAAAGGCCAGTAGAAGCTCCACAGTTTGAAACATTGCGAGCCTATAATAAATGGGTTAATTTATATAACAAACAAAAACAAAACAAAACAAAAAAAGGACTCCCTGGCCCTCCAACACTGTCTCGGGGGGAGAGGGAACCAACAGAACCCGAGGTCACCCAGGCGCGACAGCGGCAGGCCTTGCCCCGGCGGTCACCCTCACACAGGAGGACATGCAGTAAAGAAAGAGCCCCCCCAGACACCCCTCCCCCCCAGGGCTGACTGCTCCCTCCCCTCCCCCAGGCAGGCCTCACTCCCTCACACAGGGATGCCCACCTTCCAGCACTGAACCCGGAGCAGAGCAGGGACCTGGGGAGGGGCCAGGCCGGGAGGCACCAACTGTCCTCAGTGCCTCCCCCTGGAGCCCACCTCCGAAGCCCCAAGACCTTAGCCTTGAGGCTCAGTTTAAAGGGGCAGAGAGCCTGGCTGGTGTGGCTCAATAGTTGAATGTCCACCCAGGCACCAAGAGGTCGCCGGTTCAATTCCCGGTCAGGCCACATGCCCAGGTTGCCGGCTAGATCCCCAGTGTAGGAGACAGCCGATCAATGTGTCTCTCCCGTCGATATTTCTCTCTCTCCCTCTCCCTTTCTCTCTAAAATCATTTTTTTTTAAATAAAGGGGCAAAGAATCTGTCAACCTTTCCCCTCCCTTCAAAATCACCAAGCCCTCGGCCCCATCACCACCATTCGCCCCTCTCCAGCTCCCTCCCCCTGACGTCAGGCTGTGTGCCCAGGACTGGGCCTCAGTTTCCCTGCCACCAGTGACTCTGGGGCCCTTTGCCTGGCTCTGTGGAGCCCCCTCTGGCAGAAAGGCCCCAAGTGCTGAAGGACAGGCCCCTCAGCCCCTCTCCCCAGGTGAAAGGGCAGGGTCAGCCCCCAGGAAGGCCGCCCGCCCCCCCGAGTGTGCGGCCATCCCTGGCAGGCCCAAGGAGGCCAGCCATGCCTCCCTCCCAGCCCAGGGTCAGCCCTCACCAGCTCTGCCCATCAGCACTCCCTGGGAGGAAACTCAGTCTCAGGGTGCCTGACCCGGGCATTCGCGGCAGAGCCAGCCCTGGACCCAGGGCCCAAGCAGCTCCCACACTCCCTGCCGGGGAGGAAGGCCTGGCAGGAGCCAGACAGGTCCTCTCAGCCTCCATGCCTCCTGCCCGGGCCTGTCCTCCACCCCAGCAGGGAGAGGCCCCTGGCAGCCAGGCAGCGCGGGGCCCGCAGCCCCCGCCGTCGTCAGCATCTTGGCCCACTTAGAGGATGAGAGGAAAAGGCGGATGAGATCCAGCCCCAGAGGCTTCTGGGAATTCAGCACACGGTGGCGGGGGGGGGAGGGGGGGGAAGGGGGCAAGAAGAGGAGGCCCCAGGGAGTGGCTCCCAGCATCCCCCAGGGACCTCACACCAGCCCAAGGCTGGACTAACTCGAGGTCACCAGTCTCCTCTCCGGGGGTTGCTCACAGGGGTCACTGGGACAGGACCAGGTGCTGCGGGAGGGTCCCTGGGACCCCCAGGCCCCTTTGATGGCGATGGGGGCACAAGGTCTAGGTGACCTGAGGGCCCCAGGACACAGCTGATGTTCCATAAGGGCATATTGATGTTGATGGAGCCAATCCATAGCTGCCCAGCTGACCCTGGCTCCTACAGGACCCCACGCATAAACTATCACCCCCCTGGTTATGCCCACCCCACCCCCACCCCCAGCCCAGAGCAGCAGGTGCCCTGTAGGAGCTCGGTGAATCGCTGGGGTCATGAGCCCGGGCCGTGCACTGGGATGAAGACAGGGACCCAGGAAGGGAGCGTGTGGTCCCATCAGGTGAGGCCCCTGAGGCTGGGATGGGCTCCCAGCTGGGGCCTTGTTTGGTTAGTGAGAAGAGAACCCCACATTCCTCAGGGATCTCAAAGACCCTCCCTCCACCCCCAGACCCCTGCCACTAGGGGGCCTGCCAGCTCCTTTCCCTGGACCCTGGGATGGGCTAGGCAGGGCCACCAGGAGCTCATAGGCCCCCCCACCCCTTACCTCACCCCCGAAGCACTCCCACAGAGCCAGACATGCCCTCGGAAGTGCACCCTCCCAGCCACACCTGCCCAGGCGGGATCCTCTTCCTCCTCCATTCTGTTCCCTCAGCCTCGCTCCTGAGGCCGGCCCGCCCAGGTCCACCCACTAACGATTTGTGTGTAGCTCCCATTGGGGACCCCACCCTCTGCCTCCTGGGGGCGGTGGGAGATGGGGAACTTTCCCGGGGCTCTGGGAGCCTCCTCCCAGCGAGGAGAGTGAGAAGCAAGGGTCCCCCAGGGGTCCTGTGACGGGTGCTCCCCCTGGGGACAAGCAGACTCAGCCCCGCCCCTAATTGGTTTCCAGGAACCATCCATCTAGGTTGAACCCAAGACACAGGATACAGACACCTGCTGACACCTCGCCCTTCCAAGCAGTGACGTCATTGCCCAAGGTCCCTCCCCAGAAAGGACCCGGAGGCCTGAGTGCCCCCATGGGACCCAGGGCAGGGGAGGGCAAGGGAGGAAGGGAGGGCCAGACCAGAAGGGAGGGGTGGGGAGGAAGTCTGGGAAGGGGACCCTGAGCCTGGCCGAGGCACATGTGGGACCTCTTTCCGCCTCCCATGGGCTGGAATTCTCCCACCCCCCAGAGCTGCCTTCTCCACCTGCCCTACCCCCCTCTCCCCCTTCCCTCCAACTCTCACCTCTCCCTTCCCCCCACTCCACCTCGCTTCCCCACTTCAGCCTGAGGGAGGTTTGGGGGAGATGAGAGTAAAGCTCAGTCAGGCCCCCGCTTCAGACCTGGGGCTCACCCCTTCCTCGCTGTGCCCCGAGGGCCTGGGGCAGTTCCGGGCTCCATCCAGACCCCAGCCTTCCAGGGCCCAGTTCTTGGCCCTCTGTGCCCTTCTATGCTTGTTGTTCCTATTAATCCACACTCATTGGTGCCCGCTCTACGGTGCTGGAAACTTCCTCCAGGGGCAGGCGTGGCCCAGGCTCCCCAAGAGAGAGGCTTTGTCTCTCCTTTCAGGTTATTTTTATTTATTTATTTTTATTGATTTCAGAGAAGATGGGAGAGAGGGAGAGAGAGAGAAACATCAATGACGAGAGAGAATCCTTGATCGGCTGCCTCCTGCACACCCCCTACTGGGGATCGAGCCTGCAACCCGGGCATGTGCCCTGACTGGGAATCGAACCGTGACCTCCTGGTTCCTAGGTTGATGCTCAACCCCTGAGCCATGCTGGAAGCTCTCCCCTCAGTTTAGACACTTCCTCAAGGTAGCAGCTACGTCTACCCCCAGCCTGGGAACTGGCTTTGGGTGGGGTGTGTCTCCTTGGGGGAACCCCAAATATTCTGAGCATGGTTTGTGTCCTTCTTCCTTCACTTCACAGAACTTGGCCCTTTGTCTCGGTGCTGACCACCCAGCCCATCACTCTGTGTCCCACATGCCTGACCAACAAGGCGGAGGATTGAGGTGTGGGGGTTCAGGGAGGAATGGAGGAGGGTTAAGGATCAGAGCGGGGAGGATCTGGGGGCAGGATCAGCAGAGGGAAGATCAGGGAGGAGGACCAGGCCAGGAGGACGACGGATGGAGGACCCATGTGGGCACCAGGGGGCAGAGGGGCCTGCTAACCCAGTGTTCTCCTCTCAGGACGTCTACACTGGAAGGGAGGACGTCGTCCTTTCCAGGGCAGGACAGGAGGATGGAGCAGGAGCACACCTGTGCAGAGGCCTGGCCTCACCCCTGCCCCTAACCAGCTCCTCCCATCAAGCCCTGCCTCCTCCTTGGAAACTACCTCCCCGCTCCCCCCCAGAAGCAAGGGCCCTCTGCCTCAGGACCCCGGCCCTGGGGGCTTTTTAACATTTCAGGTGTGGAACCCTTTCCCCAGCCAGGTTTTGTCAGGGGGGTACCACAGCTCCTCACCTTTACCACCTACTGTGATCACACACACACTCCCCTACTGTGATCACACACACGCTCCCCTACTGTGATCACAGTCACGCTCCCCTACTGTGATCACACACACGCTCCCCTACTGTGATCACAGTCACGCTCCCCTACTGTGATCACGCACACGCTCCCCTACTGTGATCACACATACGCTCCCCTACTGTGATCACAAACACACTCATCTACTGTGATCACACACGCGCTCCCCTACTGTGATCACACACGCGCTCCCCTACTGTGATCACACACGCGCTCCCCTACTGTGATCACACACACGCTCCCCTACTGTGATCACACACACACTCGCCTACTGTGATCACACACACGCTCCCCTACTGTGATCACACACACGCTCCCCTACTGTGATCACACTCACGCTCCCCTACTGTGATCACAGTCACGCTCCCCTACTGTGATCACAGTCACGCTCCCCTACTGTGATCACACACACACTCCCCTACTGTGATCACACACGCGCTCCCCTACTGTGATCACACACGCGCTCCCCTACTGTGATCACACACGCGCTCCCCTACTGTGATCACACACTCTCTCCCCTACTGTGATCACACACGCGCTCCCCTACTGTGATCACACACGCGCTCCCCTACTGTGATCACACACGCGCTCCCCTACTGTGATCACACACGCGCTCCCCTACTGTGATCACACACACGCTCCCCTACTGTGATCACACACGCGCTCGCCTACTGTGATCACACACACGCTCCCCTACTGTGATCACACACACGCTCCCCTACTGTGATCACACACACGCTCCCCTACTGTGATCACAGTCACGCTCCCCTACCGTGATCACACACACGCTCCCCTACTGTGATCACAGTCACGCTCCCCTACTGTGATCACACACGCGCTCCCCTACTGTGATCACAAACACACTCATCTACTGTGATCACACTCACGCTCCCCTACTGTGATCACACACGCGCTCCCCTACTGTGATCACACACGCGCTCCCCTACTGTGATCACACACGCGCTCCCCTACTGTGATCACACACGCGCTCCCCTACTGTGATCACACACCCGCTCCCCTACTGTGATCACACACGCGCTCCCCTACTGTGATCACACACGCGCTCCCC